CGAAACCTATCCCATTAAGGATGCAGAGCCCCTGATACAGAATGTAATTTGTCTCTTCAAGATAATATTACGGGCAGAGCTAAAATAAGACTCTAATTTAGACACTGGCCTATTTCCATTCAAATGGGAAGGGCTGGAGAATAATGCTGATGACAGACAATGTGTGTGTTAACGTGCGAAGCAAGAGAGGTCCAAATGTGAAATGTGAATTTCTAATCATCTCTTATTGTACGTGCATTAGCCAATAGTTCAATGTAAAACATACACACTAAGTCATCTTCATGCTTGCATTTAAACTATTGGAAAGGAAATAAATGGTAATGTTTCTATAAAAAAAATACACAGCAGGGAATAAGACAATCAATGCACAGTTCATTATTAGCTGTTCTGTTCCATGTCGCCGTTAAAGTTGAGATTCAAGGCCAAAGGGACCTTGTGGGTCCCTGTTTTCTTTCTTTGTGCACTAATACAGTGGTTTCATACACCCCACTGACCTACAGGTGGCGGTAATGTGCCGAAAAACACAGCACTGCAATGGCAGTGAAGAAGAAGACTGACCGCTACATCGTTAGCGATCCTGTTATCTTCCATCATGTCTCACAGTTAGAAGTTCATTTTCAGTATCAACACGTCATTTAAAAGTAACTGTAATGCTGAGTGCAGTAGTTGTACAACATAAAACATCTGCCACCAGAATTATACAACTGAAATATCAAGTCAGAACAACACAACCAAAGCAAACATCAGGTGCTTGTAGAGCACGCACATAACGCGGCACCGATCATAGACCCTACGGGCCGGATGAGGTCAATGTCTTCAAAAAGCTTGTAACGGTCAATGGGGTCACGTGTGGTTTCAAGGGTTCACTCACTTGCCAATTGTTTGTGTTTGAATGCAACACAAGGCAACTTGCGTCAGTGCACAACTATTTAAAGGCTCTTTCGTGGTTCACTGCACGAACAATCGTTCTACAACACAAACTCCATCAGACACTAAACTCTGCTGCACTGTGAGTCATGGACACCTGTAGCTGATCTCTCTCCTCCTCCCCCTTTCCACCCCACGCCTCCTCATCTCCCGCTCTCTCCTCCTCATCCTCTCCTCCGGTCCTCTCTGTGTCCTTGCCTGCAAACCCCCCCACCCCCCTCTGACCCCACCCTATCCTGTCAATGGTGGTGGCTGACAGTGACTTTGCATCCAAAATGAAAAACAGGCAGATGGGCTCGTCGGGCGGCGTGAACATGACCAAGAGCACAAGCGTCAGCGGCGACATGTGTAACCTGGAGAAGACGGACGGCAGCCAGTCGGACACGGCGGTCGGCACGGTAGGCACCGACGACAAGAAGAGGCGCTCCAGCATTGGTGCCAAAATGCAGGCCATGGTCGGCATGTCGCGCAAGAGCCGGAGCACCTCTCAGCTCAGCCAAACAGGTATGTGTGTTTCCCGTGTGCGTGTGTGTTCATATGTGCATCTGTCCTGCGGCCTCTTGTTGTGTCTGTGTGGTTCCCCAAACTGTTGTGTGTTCTGTTCTAATTCAGCCATTCCTCTCCGGTGTTACTTTTCCTCCTTTTTTTCTTTCTCAAAGGTCTTTGGACTCCGCGCGGCGCTTTGAGGAGTCAGCAGGACTTTTCTTATACCCTTTTTCTTTCTTTCTTTTAGGTGAAAGCTCGCGTGGAAATTCCTCTCTCTGTCTTTCTGCCTCGGTTGTTTCCTTATCACACCACGGGAGTTGTGTATTCATGCAAAACGCGGATGATCTCGGGGGTCACCTTTGTTTCACCAGTGTCATGTTGTGAAACACTACCTCATACAGTAGTTGTGTGCGGGCGCGTTATTGTTCCTGAGTGTGAGAGTGTGTTCCCGTTACACACCAGAACTAGAGAGTTGTGTTGCTGTTTTCAAACCCATACTGCTTTTGCTGAAAGCACTGCATGTATATATTTTCCAGCAGCATATTACAGACAAATTGCATAGAAACCTACATTTCTTTCCTTTAAAAAAACGCTGAATAACCCTTTTGAGAGGGGTTGATTAGCTGGTGCCAGACGGTGGGAAAAGGCAGCAGGTGGCGTGCGGTGACCTCGTGTCCGTTCATAAAGTGAGGTCAGTGGGTTGGTCGCGGCTCCCTGGTGTCCTACTGAGCATCGAGGGCCTTTTCATCCCGTCTGGTCGACCCTCAGGTGGTCGAGAATCAATTCCACCCCTCAGTGATCTCTGTCCGGACGACGTCGGGTCGTCCTTCAATCAGAGGGTCGGCGGTTTGATCCCCGCTCACTAGTGTCTGTGTCCATGTGTCCCTGGGCAGGACACGTAACCGCAGACTGCCCGCGTGGCCGGTGGCTACGGTGTGGTTTTATCGGTATGGCTGCTGGATGATGGATCGTTCCTGATCTGTAACTGCACTGGGACGCAGTTGTTGAGCACTAAAGACGACTAGGTTGCTGAATACTGAGCTGAGTCTACAAAAGACAACCGACATTTGTGCAGATCTCCGATATCAGGCTCATCCAAATCTCACTCAAAAAAACACACACAGTCTTTTCCCATGTAGAGGCAACACAAACCGAGCGGTCCCCAGAGATATTCATTTTTCCCGCCGTGCTTCTCGGTCTGTGTGAGCTCGAATCGGCTTTTTCTATATGTGAGATCTGTATTTTGTTATCTCGTGCCCTCTTCTGTTGTGCGTTGTCCTGAGAGGCTCGTGGCCCGCTTGAAGGGTGCATTCAAAGGATGGCCCATTTCAGGACAGTTTGTGTGCGCTCCCAAGTGCTTGTGGGGGGGGAGGGGGGGGGGGAGGAGAGGCGGGGGGGCGTTCAGCCAGGCAGCACGACTTTGGCTTTGACAAACACGGGTTAGTCAGATGGAATGGATGTGCTCCCAGGTGACCGGGCCTCACTAGTCTGTACAAAGTTTACAGGCAAAGATGTGAACCACTTTGAGAAATCATGAGCGTATCACGGTATCTGAATAACGACCGCGGTGTACGAGGAGTCGTAACGGTTTCCTTAATAAAGATTGCCATAATGTGATGGAAGATTTTGCACAGACAATCGTTAAGTAAGAATCAAAGGCTCTGAGTCAAGTATGTCTTTCCTCCGTTTATTTCCTTGCAAGGGAAAAAGGGTCACAACAGCTACGTGGTCAGTAGACTGTCAAGAACCTCCTTCTTCTTCCCAACACATCGAGGCAGTTCTTATACCTACATTTAGATATCGGTGGCGTCAACAGAAACCGTTAACCATCTTGTTGAGTATCTACAGCCAGGGTACTGGGAACATCTTATCCATGTAAGACACGTCAGCTCTTTGACCGTATCCTTGCTCTCCCAACATGCTAAAACAAAGGTGGTCATAGACATAACAAACACTTTGTTCAATCTCTACAGCTATGACGCTGGAAACATCTAATCCAAGTGGGAGACATCAGTTCTTATGTCAGGGCCTTTGTGACCTAAGCACTTGCAACTAATAAACTGGTTATACGAATGAAGCATTTAAAAGGGTCACATATCATTTTCCCATTACATTCCACTCTTTTGATTACATAATAATCACAAACTATGCAATCAATTTAGATTGACTACTCTAAAAATTC